GTCAAGGCCCAACAGTGCATCGGTGAGGCCCGGCCGGCCTTTGGTGAATTTAGTTTTGTTTGTTTTCTTTTGTTGTTTATTTTGTCTTATTTTGTTTTATTTTGTTTTTATTATTGCATTTCTAGTATTGATCGAAGTTCTTGGGTAGTAAAAAACAAGAAAAAAAAAACAGAGAAAAAAAAGAAAAAGTAAAAAAATATAAAGAGAGCGAAAAAGAAAAGAAGAGTTGTTTTTATTATTATTGTGTGAGCACATTTGTTTTGTTTAAAGCTTGTTTATTTAACTGCATTTATTCAAATGTATAAACTATCCCGAGTAGTTTATGATTTGCTTGGACTGAATCATAGTTTATGGTTTATCGTAACCAGACGATATTGTATATATGGTTCATTTAGAAGAGTTTCGGTTAAAAACATTCGGGTACGCTCGGTGTTCACACCACCCTTCGGTTAAAAACATTCGGGTATGCCCGGTGTTCACACCACCCTCAGGTTAAAAACATTCGGGTACGCCTGGTGTTCACATCACCTTCCGGTTAAAAACATTCGGGTACGCCCGGTGTTCACACCATCCTCCAGTTAAAAACATTCAGATACGCCCGGTGTTCACACCACCCTTCGATTAAAATCATTTGGGTACGCCCAGTGTTCACACCATCCTTCGGTTAAAAATATTCGGGTACGCCCGGTGTTCACACCATCCTTCGGTTAAAAATATCCGGGTACGCCCGATGTTCACACCACTCTTCCTCCTCTCGCGTGAGACGCGTTAGGATTAAATCAGTTAAAAACATTCGGGTACGCTAGGTGTTCACACCATTCTTCCTCTCTTCGCGTGAGACGCGTTGGGATTAAATCGGTTAAAAACATTCGGGTGCGCCCGGTGTTTACATCACCTCTTCTCCTATCATATGAGACGCATTATGATTGTTTGCATTGGTTAAAAACATTTGGGTGCGCCCGGTGTTCACACCACCCTTCCTCCTCTCGTGTGCAACGCGTTAGGATCTCGGTTGAGACCTCGAGTGTACCCGATGATTACGTCACCCTTCGCCTTTCTTGCGCGACGCGTAGTTAAGCTTTAATTTTCTTACATCCTTTCTGCATGAAATGTGGTTTGGCTCGTGATTCCTATGCGAGGCGTGTTTGTTTACTTCTTTTCATGATTGAAATTGATGTGCCTTGTTTTTGTTTGTTTAAATATGGCATTTTCTTTGCATTGCATTTGCATTCAAATGTTTCATTGTACAGCCTCATTGCATGATCATAAGTTATATTCTTGCATTGCGCATATTGTTCGCATTCTGTCCCAGAACTACGCTGGTTTGATTTCTTGCAAAGGGATACGTAGGTAGCCTGCGGGCATAACCAATTTAATTTATGTCTTGCTTTCTTGTCCAAGTCTTACAATCTTGTCAAAATAGGTCGTCTCTGGGCTTTGACATTCACTCATGTCATTTCATGACTTCGAGCTCTGTCAAAAAGGGGCAACTGTAGACAGTCCATTTTTGACTGCCCGCAAGACTTAGGCACTTGGTTCAATACATTTGATGATGAAAGTTGAATTGTGAATGTGCAGCGATTTAGATTTAATTAAGCCCTTGAAATAACCTCAAATCTTCAATATTTACCTTGTTTAAACCTGTGAGTTTCATTTTTGGACCTTTTCCCACCCTGAGCTAAGTTTGAACCAAAAAATAGGGAAAGCCATCAAGGCCCCGTCGTGCATCAGTGATGGTCGGCCGTGGCTATGAATGGCCGGCTGGCCGGCTTTCGATGGCGATAAACACTGTTTTGAACGAGAGGCCGCCAACTGTCCATTTTTGAAGATATTTATCACCTTTTGAGCTCGAATTCTATAAAAACGAAACTCTGGGATTGTTTTAAGGGTTGAACAAAAATCTAGAAATCATATATACACCTAGAGAGCTCTTGCCTTATCCTTTTTCCATTGCAAGTCACCTTTGAGCTAACCTAGCTTGTTTATACCATCTCTATACTCCATACATAACCTTGTCTTACCACTCTAGAGCCTTGGTTGATCTTGGAGAAGCATAATTCAAGCTTGAGGGTGAATTGAAACCAAGTTTGGATCATCAATAATAAGATTACTCCTTAAAAGCAATCATATTGCTCATTGATGGCTTTGGAATCAATTTCAACCTACTTTTGAGGATTTCCCATGACAGAGAAAGATGAAGGACAAACAGAGCTTGAGAATGCTCTATATGCACTAATTTCACCTTAGAACACAAAAACAAAGCTTGGCACCAAATTGATGCACGACCGGTTATCTGTAGACTCGGCCGACTGTCAGTGATGCACGACCGGCCCTTGGTGTGTGGCCAACAGTGCAATTTTGCAGTAACAGAGGCAGTGGCTGAAGGTGAAATAGAGACGGCTTGGACAGACAAAGTAGCTTTCAGGTGCTGCGCATGCAACTTCTATCCATCTTCCATTATGCTCTTATCAAATGCGATTAATTGTCTCATTAATATTATTGTCATAGTTGTGAATAAATCTTATTTTAATTAATTGGTTATAGCTAGTTAATTAATTCAAGTGTTGTAATAATTAGTTAAGTAGTTGTAGCTAATTAATTTGTGTTGTAATATTTAAATTAGCTTAATTAGTTGTAGCTAATTCGTTTACTTATTTAATTAGTTTAGATTAATTAAATTAGTTTGTGTTGCAATATTTAATTAGCTTAGTCTAGTTAAATTCTTAATTAATTAGCTTAGATAGTTAGTTAATTATTCGTTCAAGTTTTGTAATAATTAGCTTAATTAGCTTAGCTTAGCTTGGTTAGCTAGTTTATTCATTTGGACTCTCCTTCGTAAGAGCGTGTTGTAATAATGTGTATGTCTTCCAACCCCACGTCTTTCTCCCTTTTATTTATCCGCTTTTGATGGTTAGATTAGGGACATTAGCATAATTTATGCGTGCATCCATTTATTCGTATTGCATGCACCGAGGCTTGGCACATCATTCTAACTGCATTGTCATTTCAATAATTATTTGAATACGTGTTTAACCGCATGTTATCAAAATCGATCCATATGCCATATTAGTAGCCGAGGCTATTAACTGCATATTGAATGTTGCATTAGACATTTGGCATAGTTAGGAGTCATGCATATTTTTCTAACTCATATCTTCTTAGCTTAGAGTACGAGGTGAGTTTTTAGTGCTTTAGCGTATTTGCATGAGTGTGAGTGATTGCCATGACTCGTATGCTTGCCATGAGGCTAAATGCTTACTTGTTAAACTACTTGAGTGCCTGTGGATAAAGGCTTGTTGTTTAAATTGGAACGATTCAACGAATGTACGCTTAAGCCCACTTTGCCTAGTGGCAAATTCACAACTTTAAGCCTACTTTGTTGAGTGAAAAATTTGTAAACTTTAAGCCCACTTAAGGTGGCAAATTCAAACATTTTTCACAAAATAAATTTGAAATTGAATTGTTCCAATTCTTGTAATCTAGTCTATACTTGCTTGTGCGCATCACATATAATGCTAGCTTAATAATTGGAACAAGAGCATATGATGTTGATAAAAATCATATCATGATTAGTAGAGGCCGATCTTTGATCGGGTGAGCGGGGGTGCTCAATTCATGACCTTCCCCTCTCATATCTAAGTTCTCGAGTCGATGTAACTTTGGTGATGACGGACACGTGGCTTTTGGCACAAGTCATGGGTTTCCTAAATTTTCTCAAAACAAAAAATATTTAGGTGGCGACTCTGTATCTAGCAAAGCAGTTCATTTTTTGCATTTTTGATTCAAAATCGATTTTCCAAAAGATTTGCCGAATTTTGATTCTTTGGTGTTTATTAATTTCACATTACACTTGTGAGATTAGATTCAGAATTGCGAGAGTCCAAACTGCAGGGCTTTTTTTCAAACCTTCTGAAAGGTGGCGCGAAAAAAGTTGAGCTACAATTGTTATTGTCACTTCTGTCACCTCCACTATCACTACCGGCACCACAATACAAAACTTGAAATAGAAAATTTGAAAATAATATTTTTTTTGATCAGCCAAAAAACTATGTTGATGAGAGAAAATCTTTTAAGAAAGGAAGAAAAAAAAACAATAAAGAAAAAGAAGGGGGGGAATGATGCAGAGGCCATCATAGTGAAATAGCCCAATCCCAACGAAGTTGGCACTAGGCAACTCACACAATGATATGACAGTACTAAACCAAGAATCTATTGGTGAGGAACCAACAGATACATAGATAAACTACAGCAGAGCTAGCAAAACATTAGCATAGATACACTAGAGCAAAGCTAGCTTATTTAAAAAAAATTCAAATTTTCTCTTATACATCAAATAACTTGTTTTATTTCAACACTAAGGTAGTGTTTGGTTTACTGGAATGAAACAGAATGGAATAATCATTCTATCAAAACGTTAATTCTCGTGTTTGGTTGACAAAAAATGATGACGAAATGCATTATAAATAGAATCATGATTCACTATTTCAAGCGAATGGTTATTCCATATAAGAGTTTAAAAAATGATCATTCTATTTCATTCGAACTCATTACAGTAAATCAAATAGAGCATTAATTTTTTATTAAACAAGTTTCCAAGCTATGTTTGACATTTTCTAAAAAAGTCAAAAAGTTACTATCATAGTTAAGTCACATTATCTTATTTAAGTCATATCACCTCTCTACCACATCACTTCAAATTCAACTCATATTTTATAAAAAATTAAAAAGTATATTTAGAACCTCCTAAACAACAACTATAATGTCAAGTGATGGGGCTGGGGAATCAAAGGCTGAACCTTTATTGCATTTGTAGAATAAAAAAAGAGAAAAAAGGGTAAGTTAATATAGAATAAATTCAATTTAGGGAACAAAGGAAGGAATGGATTATTCCAAACAAGACCCGGCAGTGAAGCAAGTAAGAAAATCATGGAATTAGGAAGCTTCCATAACCATTTTCCATGGAATTGGATTGGATCTTATAATATATTATTCTTACTATTTTATAATCATTTTTTCATTTTTATTATTATCATTAATCTTTTTTATTTCACTTTCCCGCAAAAAATGACCCGATGGTCCCAACCTCTCTCTCTCTCGCTCTAATGAAATGCAGGTGAAGGTCACAAAATCTCCAATCGTCACAAAGAACCTTCGAGTTCAGATCGGCGAGGTTCGCTATTCGTCTGATCGTTTATGTATGTTAATTTGATTTTTTTCATGTTTTTATTTACATATGTATGTTTGATTCGTGTGTATATATATATATGCTTTTGCTGAAATTATTTGATGGATTATTGTTTCTTTCGTCAATTCTCTCTGTACTTTGCTCCACCCTCTTCTTTTTCTGAGCTTCTTTGCCTTTGATTGCGTTAGCCTCTTCTGTGGTTAAAATTAGGGTTTTTGGGTCAATTGGTTGTTATCTCTCAAAATCTGAAGATTTATGTATGAATATGTCGATAGTTAGATCCATTTTGTGTTAATTTTCCTTGCATGTTTGAATATGCTCGAATTTTCCTTGGATGTTGGTAAGTGAGAAGAAGGCCATGTATTTGAATTATGGTCTGTTTGGTTACATTTTGATCTATTCTCAAATGTTTGAATTTGTCTGGGGTCTAGACCAATCTAGAGTAGAGATATTTTTGTTTCCATTAATATGAAATTGGTGTAGTGGGTTTAGTTCGGAAGAGAAGAGTGAGAAGAAAGTGTTCCACATAAAGGGGTTGTTAGGGGAGGGAAAGACTGAAGGCACATGATTGGTCAATGTAGGACATATTAGGAAACTAGGGCTTTGTGGTGGGTTTAGGGTAGGAATTGATTCTAGGGTTATGGTTCTAATAGATAGAAGAAAAGTTGTTTGGAAACGGAAAGGCTTAAATAGGTTTTGCTGGACTTTCAGATTTAGTGTAATTGGAAGGCTTCAACATGAGCTATATTCTGGTTTATATTTGTTGATTTAAAGGCCAATAGATATGTAGGGGTAGAACTTGATTGAGAAGGGTTTAGATGTTGAAATCGGGGCTGTTACACTGCCTAAGAAGCACTAACGTTTTTAAGAAAGTGTCGTGTTAGATGCTCATCTAGACATGTCCTATTATTTTTGTTGTGTTTGCGTTTTTGATTGTTGATATTGTTTCAATCTCTATCGTGCGCTTGCATTTATGCTTCTTGGTCTTGTGCTGCAAATAGTAATATGAGAAGCGTAGCTATAGTTTGTGCATGAGGAGGAGGTGTTTCACCCTCGCAAGCATTAGGCAAATTCACACAATTTCAAAATTTTATAAATTCAATTAAACTCCAATCAATAAAGAATTACAAAAGTATTAATAGGATGTTGTTTTTCTCTGATTCTTGAAGACTTTGATTCAAAATGGGAAACTAGTAATTTTTTACGAATTAGAATTATAGTTGTCAAATCCTGAATCAAAATGGCCTTGTACCGAATCACGAATTGAATCTTGAATCATAAAGATTCGGTTATTTTTTCTAAATTACGTAGAAAAATATATTTACACACTTGGATGTTAAATATATCTTATAAATATAAAATATTTAGACTTAAATCAATGAAAATGTTATTTTGAATGATGATCACGTGGTCTAATAGGTAAGAAGTTAACACAGGTTCTCATGTAAAATCACCCAGTATTATTAAAGGCGATAGGTGCATCAAGGCGCTAAGGTCTCTTGGGGCTTAGGCGCAAGGTGCAAGGCGAGGTGTAGGCTTCACCGAAGTAAGGTACATCTTGTATGTAAAAAATATATAATTTAATATAAACAAATAATTTATGGTTCAACATAAGCAAAATGATTAAATATTTAAAAATATAAATACCAATAAACACTACTATTTTAACTTATAGACAAATGAATAATATATCAAAGTTTAACATAAAACATGAATAAGAAGAGATGGGAGAAGAAGAATAAGAAGAAGGGGAAAAAAAAATCAAATCAGTCCAAAGAAGGATGAGAAAGAGAAGGAGGCCAGAGAATAAGCATAAGAAGAAGAAGGAGAAGAAGAAGAAGAAGAAGAAGAAAGCAACGTGAAAAGAACATCATAGACATGTGAAAGAAGAAGATAGCAACGTAGAGAAGAGAAGTAGAAAAGACCAGAACGTAGAGAAGAAAAGTAGAGAAGACAACAACGTAGAGAAGAAGAAGAGAAGAGAAGAGAATGAGAAGAAGAAGAAAGCAACGTGAAAAGAACATCATAGCCATGTGAAAGAAGAAGATAGCAACGTAGAGAAGAGAAGTAGAAAAGACAAGAACGTAGAGAAGAAAAGTAGAGAAGACAACAACGTAGAGAAGAAGAAGAGAAGAGAAGACAATGAGAGAGAAACGTAAGAAGAAGAAGAAGAAGAAGAAGAAGAAGACGACAATGTGAAGAAGAATTTTCGGAGTTGCTGGACTGGATAACGAAGGCAAGTAACAATAAATTGTTCTTTGAAGATTAGGGATTGTGGCTAATTTTTTTTTTTTCTATCGTTGATTTGGGGTTGAATGCCCAATGTATTGGCATGTGTAATTGAGAGTAGGTATCTTTTGTAACTGCACCATATTAAATCAATGGTCAGATTTAAAACAAAACCAATCAAAGCAACAATAAAAAAAAAGCCCTCAAGACGCAGGCTTTGGGCTTACCGTGCCTTGGCCCAGTCGTGCACCTTAAGCACGACTTATCGAAGTTGCTTGGCTTGGAATATTGCAAGGCGCAAACATTGGGCTTGGATGGGACTTGGGCCTAGGTGCACCTTTAATAATACTGAAATCACCATCTTACCTTTTTCCTTTTTTAGATATTGCTTATCAACCATTCTTAATGAAGAAAGTAAATAAAGACAAACTCTCAATTTTCAAGTAACAAAACTTAACAATGATGTTGATATATTTCATAAGTATACATACATTTGCAAGTGACAATGACCCAATAATAAAGGACTTGCAGAACCATTACGTTTAACTGACCCCATCTACGTATTGAAGTATGTTTATTTCAATAAAATAACAATAAATAATTGATATTTGCAAGTTATTTTAACCTTAAATATCTTTAGAATATCCGTTATGATTTTTTTTAAGGGAAAAAAAATGAGAAGAACAGATTAAAAACATGTTGAGTCTTATTGAATTTGATCAGGTCCTATTAAAAACTCCCTGATCTCCAGAATAACAATAAATTATGTATATATATTGGTTATTTTTGTACTAAACACTATTAGAAGTCGTATTATGTCATTTTAACTTCAACAAAGGAGAAAAAAAGAATCGAATGATGTCAGACATGATAGTTTCAAGAATTGCATGAATTGTAAAAAGTGAATCGAATCGTGTATCAATTGTGAATTGTGCGATTCATTAGAGATTCACTTCCAAAATAGATTCGTTCATAGATTCGTATCGATTTTGTAAAAATTGTGAATTGAATCGTGAATTGAATTGTGAATTGTAAGATTTTGGTAACAAAGATTAGAATATTGTACATTTATTGAAAATTCTATAAAAGACCCAAAATCACAGCTTGACTCAGATTATGACCAAGGTGATCCTTGAAATCGATGTCCAATAAATTGTAAAGTTATCGAAATACCCATGATAACTAAAACATAATGAAACATAAATACAACCATACAACAGCTCACTAACTCATAAAAGCATAAAACAATTAACCCAAGCATGGTTGTATAAATCCCAAAGATTGCTCAAGTGAAATTCCAAATTTTCCCATTTTGTTCTTTCCATGCTTGGTGTCACTGCCACTAGTTAGGTTGGTATAGAAGAAAAGCTGGTGTATTTTTTAACTGAATTTGTGAGCCTGGACAAAGTAGAACTGGGGAAGAAGGATAAACATGGCCTTGCACAAGATGGGCACGCACCGTTGGGATGATAGTGAGGAGAATATGGGAGGAAGAAAAACCAGAATAGAACTTGGAGCAAGATGTCTATGGGGAAGTGCATTTTAGGCTTTCAAAGCTACAGTTCAATTTTTTTTTTTCTCTTTCTAAAAACAAAATGTGTGAGAAAGCTCAACATTACAAAAGTCTACTGGGCCTGTTTATCTTATTCCTGTGTTTAATTATGGTTCACTTTTGATATTTAATGCAGGTATCTTGATTTTATCTTGGGCATTTGCCCGATAATTTAAAGGGTTGATCTTGGAGGGAGTATAAGCTAAGTCATAGTGTTGGCCTCTCGAGATTGCTCCTACTCTATGATAAGCTTTGCAACCAAAGGGCCGTGCTAATTTGGGTCTGATGAAAATTTTGGAACCTTGGTTGTAGTGAAGAAGCAATTTTTATTACCCATGGGTGTGAGCTACTTATCAATCTCTGCAGTTTGCACATTGTTAAGCTTCGTGGGCCTCCAATATTGGACGGATTTGTCATTTCAGAAGCTAACATCAGATGGGGTAATTGGTGAGGATTCTATTGAACCTGGGAATGCCCGCCAAGCCTTGAAGCTGCTTTTGGGTTCTCAAGCCACAATTGCATTGTTGGCTAATTTTGTACTGAATGTATTTGTCCTGATCATTTTGGGTCTTAAGGTAACGTTCTCTGGTTTTTATTGGTATTTCCCACTTGAAAGGCATGCAAAGTTATGCTTGCTTTGTTTGAAGCAACATGTGTGGGGAACAGCAGTCTAGCGAATGCGTCCTGAAGTGGCAATTTGAAGTCTTTCATGATATCTTTCTGATCGTAGGGCTCAAAGAGTTGGTTCTGTTAGATATAATGCCATTGTGCATGCTTTAATGCTGCCACTTTACCTTATTTTAATGCTTGTTAAGGGTCATTCATTATACATACTCATTAATTCACTCTTTTCTGTTCCATTAGCATTAAGAAAAATCTAACACACTTTAAGTGGTTATTATGGAACGGGTGGAGCCAAAACTTTCCTTGAGTTGATAAACTAAATGATAGTGTAGTTAATGAGATAAAATTAATAATGAATAATTTATAGTGTAAAATTCAACTTTGGATAACTTAAAATAGTTATTTTTTTTATTTAAATAAGTTCGCATACAATCTATCTTTTTTTGATTGGAACATATAATCATTATAAAATACACAATAATTTAATGCTTATATTCTAAAATACTAAATCACTGCCACTTGGAATTAATAACCTAAAAGGCCACAATTATAACATTAGTTCAAATGTTCGACCTCGTATTTTCTCTTTAGAGGTATAATAATATTATTAAAGCATTGAGTTTTGTTCTTAGAATAACTTAAACTAAAGCCTTGAAATTTATTGGATAACAAACTCATAAAGCCTTCAAAATTTAAGAACGTAATTCCAAACATCTCATAATAAGACTACTAATGAAACTATATCAATTAAAAAACTTTTTCTTGTGAGTTCTCTCCATCATTTTGGTGCATCCATCCCCTCTCTTTGGAAAAAAAAGTCGGCCTTCAGTTTTGTGGTTCTTCAACATTGGAGAGATTTTTCGCATCATCTTGATTACTATCACGGATCTTCACTCTGGCACAAAGAAGGTGCAGCCTAAATCTCACAACTATATTTTTGAACATTTTATAGGCAAATTAATGTTTCTTTCCATATATGGTGATAGATAGAAATAGTGAGAGAAGAAGACATGAGAGGGAGGGCACACCAATAAGGATATTTACAAGCTACATAAAACCCAAAGCCATATGAAAATTGCCTAAAACTCATTCTACTTTTGAGGTAACAAATAAAGCCTCAAATTTATTCCTAAAATAACTAAAACTCTTACATACATGAAACTTCGGTTAACATCATTCCAAAAGACTCGTAATAAGTTTACTAATTAAAATTGTATCAACTATACCTCATTTTCTTGGAATCGTCCATCTGCTAGGTGCATTGTATAATCATAAAAGAGCCACCAATGGAGGGCCTGCAATGCTATTGGCACTCTGCTTTGTGCTATTTCAGTTTAGTTGATGGGTTTGTTTAAACTTTTATAGGTGAAAGTACTCTTCTACGTGAGAAGTTGCTTGGTTGATATGTTTGTTGTTTTCTTCGTGCAGACTATATTCTTTGTGGAGTTGTACCCTTCTGAAACTCGAAAACTGGTGGAACGGCTTATGAACTATGTTATTTATAAGGTAAATGTTCGTAATCTGTGGATATTAATATTTTTGTTTTTGGTTTCTTATTTGTGTTACCGCAATGGTTGTCATGAGCATGCTTTTGTTGTTTGCTATTTCCTTGATTGTCTATTTGTTTATTTTCTCTGTGGTTGAGAATCTGTGTGGTTGTTTAGATTCTTTCTTTTTGGAAGCTGATTTATTTTGTTATTGATGATAAAGTGACAAGTGACTGGTGTCATAGTGTAAATAAAAAAAAGAACGAAAAGATCACGGTGACATTGAAAATATTTAAACTGTGGTTTTGAATGACATTCCTTTTTTTTATTAAACATTACATGCTTATATATAGAGAAGCTTTGGAGATGGATAAATTTAGAGCAACAAATTTGGAGATGTTGGGGAACTTGATAGAATAGTCAATTGATGCCTCATTTTCTTACCAAAATATTTTATTTAAAACCAAGTAATAACTACTATTGCATAGAATAGTGGTTCAGATTAGGCGTGAATCAATATTTTATTTAAAAGCAAGTAATAACTACTATTGCGTAGAATAGTGGTTAAGATTAGGTGTCGATTCACAGGGACTAAAGATGAGAAATTAATTTAATTTAGATATTTAAAGTTTAATAGAGTTGTGAATTTTTGAATGAAAGTTAAACTAACAATTTAAAACAATAAATTAAGCCATTAATTAAGTGAAATAAAATGAGAAAAATATCTTAGGATTTTGAACTCACCACTAACCACGTAACTGGGAGTTGTATTAATTTGCAGAAAATCATTAATTTGGATACTTTGATGTATCTTGGCCTAAATACTTTGTAAATATAATTTGCATATTAAAACCCGAAAGCAAAATCATCTTCGCTTAGCATGAATCATCTCCCTAAATTAGACTAACTATTACGACCCTAAGACAAGGAAGTTAGTTGCACATACTCTTGGAACTACCACTTTGGAATATACATTCTAAACTCTCACACTCTCACACTCTCCCTGTCTTTCTTTCTCTTTTCTTTTCTCTTCCTTTCCTTCCTCGAATTCTAGCCTCCTTTCTTGCTCCTTCCCCTTCCTTTTATAGGCAAGAATTGATGGTCCGGCAAGAAAGAAAAGACAATGAAGGTTATTTAGGCCTCGTTTGTTAACTATACATTTTAGCAAAGAAGTCAAAAAGTTACTATAAGTTGTCACATCACTCTCTACTTTTCTGCACATATTTTCGTAAAAAGTTAAAACGTTACCAGCATAACTTGTTTCCAAACGAGACCTTAATAATATTATTAATAATTTACTTTCACCTACCATTCACCTCAAGGGTTTTCACCTATTTTACTGTTTTTTTAATTTTTAATTTTTTAACTTTTTATTATTAAAATAATATATAATTATATAATATATACTGTACTATACCATACTGTCGGTGTCGGTGGTTGTGGTGAAAACAACGTTTTCTTATTTATTTTTTTATATTTATTATTTATATGATATAATACACAATACATTATATTAAAATATAATATATACAACAATTTATATACAAACACTTAAAATATATAAAAGCACACAGAATCATACAAAATTATAAAATAATATAAATTAATGGACTAATAAAATGTATTTTAACGGGCCAAATGTTTAACATTTAGGTTGTGATCACAAACCTTTTTGAAGAGGGTGGGGGTGTTGGGTAGTGATGCTTTTCTTGTGAGTAAATTAGGAACAAGTTAAAGGAAAGGAAAAAATAAATGGTGGAAAAAGTGTCTTCGTATTCCCTAACTTGGGATCATGATGTTCCCATTGTGAACACTCAGCCAGGAAGCCACGTGTCTCGCCTGTCCCCTCAGCTTCCTTGCCTTCCCTACCTCTGACACTAGACTCCGATGGAAAATCTTGCTGAAAAATCCATTGCCAATAATCCTCTCTTCTTCTGATAGGTTTCAACAGTGGCTTCACACGCACTGTGATTGAGCCTTCATCCATTGTAACCTCAATGGTTGATGGTAAAAATCCAGAATTAGATCCCCTCACTTTCAATCTTGCCACACAGATTTTCAAAATTCTTGGTGCTGTTATCCACTTCTAATTGCCCTCCACATCTCGACCCAATCCTTTCGAAGGTCATATCGTCCCATAAATTAAATGGCAAATCGCAAATAGCAATCCATCCTCCATATGAAGCAATAATGTTAGAACTTCTATGCTTTTCATCTGACCATCTCTCCATCTGCTAGGCTAAATCTGAATGAGATTCACTTGGGTTTAGCTGATGTTGTTGATCGTTCGACAGGGGATCTCTTACAGATTAGGCGCACCATTGGAGATGAGGCTTTGGTAGGGGACATGGATGTTCTAGGTGAAGATGTTAATGATGTGATGGAGAATCTTCCTTGTGTTGACCGAATGATTAAAGAAGTGGATTTAGGCATTTGTGATCCACAAGGGTTGCTATAAGCGCTGGAAGGGTATGGGTCTCATGAAAGCTCTGATGAATCTTCGGGTCCAGATGAGGAGGTCGAAGTTTGTAACGAGGAGGAGAGGGTTGAAGCCTTTGACCCGAACCTAAATTGGCCATTCCATGAAGAGGAGGCAACGTTTTCTTCTTATAATGAGCACATTGTGGGGTTTGAGGGTGAGGAAGTCTTTGTCATCTGCGAAAAGGTATGTGACTCTTTTGACAGGGATAACATGAACTCTTCATTTTCTAATCATCTTCAGTGTATTCAACCTAGTAGTGGTTTCTACCAAGAATGACAATTTGCCTCAGTTATCTGCCAGTAGGTCCTCTACCAGTGATAATTTGAACCCACATGCGATTAACATGGAAAATCATAGGACTGATCTTCCGATGGAGGTGTCTACGAATCATAGGCTTGCAATGAACAATGTTCTTGGGAATGGCGGTGATGAATCTGAGAGGTGGTTGAGGAAAATGAGTATGTATCTTTCCCTTTAGAGGAGGGAGATGTGCCTCACTTTGCACAATTACTTGACATTCTTGGTTTGTCACTAATTAGGTACAATGGGAAGAAGTCTAGGTCTAGGAGTGTGGGGTTTGCATCTAGGGGGTAATAGTCATAGAAGTTCGGGGCATAGAAAAGGGATGAGGGAATTAAGAAATCTTGAAAATGGCATTAATTATGAGGGTGGGGTGAAAGAGACAATGGGCGGTGTTGGTTCTCGATGGAGATTTTGAGTTGGAATGTTAAGAGGACTGTGGTCCCGTAGGAAAAGGGCCGTAATTAAAGAGGTTTTGAAAATTCATCAACCAAATATAGTGATCTTTCAAGAGACGAAGTGTGAGAAATGTGATAGGGTTTTCATTAGGAGTGTTTGGGGGACTCAGTTTAAGAGATGGGTTGTTTTACCTTCTAGTGGGAGATTAGGGAGAATTTTGATTATGTGGAACGGGAGAGTTGTATTGGAGTGTGAGATAGTTGTGGAGTTTTTTATTTTATTTTATTTTATTTATCTCCATTAGGTTTAGGAATTGGGGTAACTAGGAAGGTGGCTGACAAGGGTTTATGGCCCAATAGGCCTAGTAGTTGTCAAGAGTGGTGGGAGGAGTTGGCTGGCTTATTTGGGCTTTGTTTCCCTAATTGGTATGTCGGTGGGGATTTCAATGTGGTTAGCTTTATTTCAGAAAAACTCAATGGGATTTCCATAAATATAAGTATGCGGGACTTCGACTCTTTTATAAGGGAGTGTGATTTGATTGACCTTCCATTGAGTAATGCTCAATTCACATGATCTAATTTTTAGGAAAATCTTGTGTGTTGTAGGTTGGATAGGTTTCTTCATACTCTAGGGTGGGAGGAGTTGTTTCCAGATATAAGGCAAGAAGTAGGGCTAGGAGTTGTGTCCACCATTGTCCAGTGATTCTTGAGAGTTGTAATAGGGTCCCACCTCGTTCAGATTCGAGAATATGTGGTTGGAAAAACGATATTTTAAGGTGTATTTTAAGGATTGGTGGGAAAACGGTAGAGTCCATGGGTGGGAGGGTTTTAAGTTTATGCGGAAGTTGAGAGGAGTCGAGGACAATTTTAAGGTTTGGAAGCATGAAGTTTTTGGTGATCTAAATGAGGTGAAAGCGGAGTTAGTTCGGGATATTGAGGAATTGGATGCAAAGGAGTCTGGGGAGGGTTTCTCTGGGGTTTCAAGGGATGAGAGATCATTGCTCAGAATGAAGTTGGAAGAGCTTGTTTTTAGGGAGCAGATTTTTGGGGGACAAAGAGCTAAATTGAAATGGGCTAAAGAGGGTGATACCAATTCTAGATTTTTTCATAGTGTTGCGACCGGAGAGAGGAAGAAGAATTTCATTAAAAATCTAGAGGTTGGACAGATGTGGTGGTGAGTAAGGACGAGCTTATTGTTAAGGAGATTTTCAATTTTTATTCAAATCTCTATTTTGATGGGGGAGTGGATTGTCCAGGGATCGAAGGCATTAATTGGGCTCCTGTGGAGTCAGCGACAACTAGTTTGCTTGACAGGCCCTTTGATGAATGTGAGGTGAGATAGGTCGTGTTTGAGTGAGAGAGATAAGGATCCAGGTCTGGATGGCTTTTCAATGGCTGTATTTCAAGATTGTTAGAACATTGTGAAAGGGGATCTTATGAGAGTGTTTGGTGAGTTCTTCGAAAGTGGGGAGCTTAACTTATGCACCAATGCATCCTTCATTTGTCTAATTCCCAAGAGGAGAAGTTGGTCAAGATTGGGGATTTTAGACCCATTAGCTTGGTTACATCACTCTACCAAATTCTAGCAAAGGTGCTTTCTAAGACAATTAGGGTTGTTGGGGAAACCATTTCTTCCGCACAAGGTGCCTTTGTGCAAGGACAGCAGATATTGGATGTAGTCTTAGTGGCTAATGAAGTTGTTGAGGAGTACAGGGGATTACATAAGGAGGGTGTTGTTGTTAAGGTTGACTTTGAGAAGGCATATGACCATGCTGATTAGGGCTTTGTGGATTTTGTTTTGGAAAGGAAGGGGTTCGGATCTAGGTGGAGAATGTGGAT